CAACTACTGCAGACTTGGACATTTCTTAGGCCTCTGCCCTTAGTCAAGCTTGGCTGAAGTTGCCAATGAGTTCAAGTTGGAGGGAGGGAATGAACTGACAGCAATGACAGAAGCTTTTTTCCTTAAAAATAGTGATTTAAAATTACTACGATTAGTATAAAAACATGTATTATGCTTTTTTCTTTTCATTCTCCTTAGCAGTGATAATTTGTATCACTGCTGTTGCTTGGAAGCAGACAAGGATGAACGGAGGAATTCACATCTTCCTGAGGTTCTATCTAGTAGCCGTTCTGCTGCTTTCCAAGTTTCTTCAGAAATGCAAGGATAAAACCCCCTAATAAAAACCCCACAACTTTCAGTGTATTTCTTTTTTCTAGAATAGAGGTGTCATTTTTAGCAAACTAGATGATGCAGCATTACAAATTATACCAAATTGACATCTTTGTGTTCTGTTTTAAAAGCATTTAATGTAGTTATGTTATACGTGCATTATATATGTGTATGTACACATATGTGTATACACACACACTGACACAGGGGATAAAACTCTGCATATACAGTGAATAACAAGCCTGTCTGCCTGAAATCTGGTTAACGGGTGAGAGTGAGTGTGAGGGTTCACTGGAAGCCTCACGGCTTTGCTTGAGTTTTAGGGGCTCCTGCTTTAACTGATATGAACGTTTTTATGAACCTTCTGCCGTAGCAGGCACTTAGAATAAGAGAACTACCTTAATAAAAGTGCAGTATTAACACAGGTGCCAGAGTCACTGCAATGGATATTCTCAGGAAAAGGTGGGTCCTGGGGGACTGACTTTGAAATTTAGATTGTGATTTGCAAAATGCAAAATGGTAATATCTGAGCTGGGCTAAAGTGAAGTTGTTAGGACTTAATTTTACAGGCAGGGAATCAGAGCAGTTTAAAATAAGCCGTGCACAGGCTCTACCTCAAAGATGCTTTTTAAGGCATTCAGCTACCATGGTGATGAGTGTGGTATAAATAGAAAACAGATTAGATGGAATCCAAAATGCTTCTGACTAGATCTAAATTAACAGTAACCATTCAAGAAAGAGCTAGGGAGCCACTGTTTAAGAAAATGCACAGAAATATTAAATCTACAGTGGTTTATGTGAAGAAGGAGGTTGGAAGCAGTTGGTAACTTGATGGCTAGTGATGCAGTATCAAAAGGATTCTGGTTCTGTGCAAGCTCAGCATGGAAAAGCAGAAACAGGTGGTGTTCCAGAAAGTTAAAAAAATATATAAATACATATATATATTAAAAAAAAATACTTGTGGGACAAAAATTTCTAGGAGATATCCTAGAAGCTGTCACATCTCATTTTATACCACAGGATCCCACAAGAGTGGGATACAGAACTAGGAAGGATGGTCCAAGGTTAAGTCCCCCATTCTGCAGAGGAGATAAAACTCTTCCTTCCCCAGCAAACCACTGACCTTCTTTTACTTGTTGCCCAACGTAAGACTCCAGTCTAATTTAAAGACTAATTTAAAGCACTTCAAAATGTGTTTGTACAAGCAGCTTGTAGTTTTTTGCCTCAATATATTAAGGTCAACTGTTTGGTAGGAATTAGAGCTTGTTGAAGCTGCAGATTGCAGAGTTATTTAAAGAACATAAACTTTAGGGACATAAATAATTGTTCTCACTTGTTCTCAGTGGGACTATTAACATGCTTTAAATTACAGATAGACTAAGTACCCTGCTCATGAGTGGCCTTAGAAATAGCTATGTAAAGCTCTATGTAGATATAAAGAGTGTACAACAGGTTAATGTGTGGCCTGCAGATGTATTTTGTGTGAACAGTTGAACTGTCTTGTGATTTCCTTCTTTCTTTCTTTGTCTGTAGCTAAGGGAAGAACTGAGTTTCTCCATCCATTTACTTTCCAGTGATTGAATAAAACTCTGTGATTCCTAGTGTGTGGACACCAGTACTGGGTGACCTTTGCTAGTGACTGTGGTGACAGCTGTTTAGCAGCTGCCATGAAAGTAGCCTCGTGTTTGGAATGACCCAGGATTAGAGATCCGTCTTTGCTGCTCCTTTCTGAACTTCTGAATTAAGCCCTTCTGATGTTATCATGGGTTTTTTTGCTAGTAGGAAAACAAGTGGAGATTGCAATCAGGTATTTGTGACCAATATGCAAGCATGGGTTTTGGCCGATCAGACGAACAAAATTAGAGGGTGTAGTTTATCTAACTCCAAGGCAGTTGGAGTAGACTGAGTATGATCTGAAAACAGCCCTCCACTCCTTGCCAAAACACAGCATTTAAAAGAATAGTGATGCCCAGCTGTTTGTCTAGAGATTGAAATTTTAGACGTGAATGTAACTCTTTAAAAACACATAGGTGAGACTCTTTTGGATGCAGGATGATAGCTGGAGAGGGCAGAAGCTTCAGGGAGCATGTGGTAGTGCACAGTCACGTTAAGACGCTGGTGACCTCTCTGAGGGGAGGCCGAGGGGCAGGAGAATGTGCTTAAATCTCCTGTGAAGGGCTGGCCTAAGCAAACGCTGAGGGATGAAGAGACCTCACAGCAGCTGCTTGGGTGGAACGCAGCACGAACATGTTGCCTTCAGGTAGGCTGCTGGGGCAATGGGAGTGTTAAGTGCCCCAGTATGGACTGGCTAGTAGTCTCTAGGCTTCAGCTAGTCTTATTGGGCCCACTAAGCTGGCCTAACGCCTTCAGATAGCTCCTCAGTGAAGAAAAGCTGACTGCAGCTGATCTCAAGCAGGGGAGAGGTTATGCAAGCAAAAGAACACTTTTGTACTCTCATTTACCTTGGGGCAGGCAAACGCAACTGGTTAACTTGCTAATGAATGTGGTGGAGTCCCTGAACTCTGAGCGCTCACGTGCATTTTGTGTAGAAATCCCCATCTCCTCCTTGCAGACTCCATGTGCAACGAGCTGGGTTTCATTGGCCTTGCTCTGAAACACCAAGGTATCTGGGCACGACACTATCAGCTTTTGAGATGCATGATCTAGAACAAAACGTGCAGTCTTAATAATGCAAAATGCATCAAACCCGGCCTCCTCTTACATTAGGGTTTCCACGGCTCCTTTTTTCAAAGTTACCTGAAAGTTTCTTGAGGGCTGCTTTGCTACTGCTGAACAAAGTCTCAAAGAAATTAAAGGCCTATCAAAACTTCAATTCCTTCTGCTTCTTTAGATTACCTTCTTTATGGTAAACATACTGCAGCTTGAATACTTTAAATACCCTAAAATGAAATAAAATCTTCTGCCTACACAAATCTTCCCTTGAGACAAAAATGAAAGAATAGGAGATATTAGCCACATCACTTAGTACACTCCTCAAAGGCATTTGGATACTGTGGTGAAAAAGGGTGTAGACAAACCAATACAGAGCAACGTAGCCTCAATCATTTAACTCATAGTAGGCTACAGATTGAGAGCACTTATGCTTTTGTATCCTTGTTTTCCTTTCTGTATAGCTTAAACCTTAAGCAAACTGTTGTAGCCTATGGAATAGGTTAGAAGGATGTGATAGTCCCTGTAGTCTTAAATGCCTTGGTCTGGAGGAGCAGCAGTGACATAGTGAACACTCTGTGGTTATCGTGTGTGCTCTGGTTATCTATGTGTCACCTTTAAGCTCTATAGCTCTGGTAGCTTCTTCTTCCTCTTTTAATAATTTCTGAAGAATTGGATAGTTACCATTAGCACCGTTTGAGCCTAACATTTCACTGATTTAATGTCAAATCATTGACATGATGTGAAATATTCACTGATGAGCATTGCCACGTTTCTCACTGCCGCTTGGCAAGCTCCTCAAGTAGTCCCTGTTTCCATAGGTCTGTGGCAGAGTTTTATTCAGATTCTCCATGGAGTTTTGCTTAAGACTACAGGTATCCATATCCAACTGGAGACATTAATGATGTTCCTGAGCTTCACCCCACCCCTCCTGCTAACACAGCATTTTGTTCCAGTGCTCCCTAACCCACTTCAGCTAAAATCAACACCACTTAGCTCCTAGCACCTATTCAACGTGGTTAGGCTACCTCAGCTGATTCTGCTTGAAGTGGCTTGGGGAACATTTACACAAACAGCTGGGGGAGGTCTGGGGGCAGTAATCTGCGCCCCAGGGATGGTGATAAACAGCTTGAAAAGAGAAGGGCAGGGCAGAGCTTGAAACCTCTGCAGCTGTGTGCGTGCTGCGTGTCTGTCATGTGTGTCCATAAACTGCATGGAAGCTATGGAAATATTTGGGTTTACAGTTAAGACTGCAGCTGTAACAGCTAGTGTCTTCCTTATATATATAGAGGCGTGTATATATACATATATAAAAATCTGGATTCACAAAGTTACAGGGACATGGCACCACATGTGAGCACAAACCCTCCAAGCTCAGCACAGCATATTGTGTTGAGAGGGGGTAAATTTTGGCCAAGGAGGTCAAAGCACATTCATCCTTTTCTCAGAGGTGGTGTCGGTCCTAAACCAGGACCTTTAATTTAAATCCCAGTTTTGGTTTGACTGGACGGGGGCTGCTGCTGCACACCTTGCTCAACGCTCTGGTGTGAAGCTGACCCAACGCGCAGGCTCAACGACTGTTTCAGCATCGCGATGAGGGGGTAGACGAGCTCTTGTGGTTACACTGGGGCCACAGGGGCTATTTCTGGCTCCAGCACATGCTCCCAGTGTGACCATGGCTGAGTCACTCATCAGACACCATTCTCGTGTATGTAAATTGGGTATCAGCAACATCGCAGGTGGTTCGTGCAGCCCATACATGTTAAGCGCTTTGCGAGCTGCGCATCAACGCGCTCCCCGCCGGGCAGCCATGGGCGGCCTCCCGCAGGCCGCCCCTCTCCCCTCCCCGCCGCCGCGGCGCAAGATGGCGGCGCGGCGCGGAGGCGGGAAGGGGCGGCGCGGCGCGGGGGGCGGCGCATGCGCGGCGGGGGCGGCGCGGCCGGCCGGCTCCATGGTGCTCGCGGCCCCGGCGCGGCCGCCGCTGTGAGGGCCGCACCGCTGGCGGGCCGCGCCGCTCGCGGGGGCGGCTCGGCAGCATGGCGAGCTACCTGCCCCCGTGCGTGATCGACGGAGGCACCGGGTAAGTGCGGGAGGCGCCGCCTCTGCCCTCCGTGCTGCCCGTCCCGCGGCGGCGCCTCTGCCCCCCGCGCGCCCCGGTTTTCATTTATTTATGTTTATTTATTTTGCTGTCGTCAAACCGTTGCAGACCGGCAGCTGTGAAGAGCCCTTCGCCCGTGAGGGCGCCCTCCCTTGGGCCAGGCGCCTCGCGGAGGCTCCCGGCGCTCTCCCTTACGCAGCGCCTGGAAAGTTCCCTGGAGCATCCCTGGAAGCGAGGCGCGGGGCTGCGGGGGGCCGCGGGGCTCCCTTCGCTTCCCGCCCGGCGCGGGGCCGCGGCGCCTCCTCCCTCTGGAAGGGGCTTCTACGTCCAGGGACACCGCTCTCTTAAGGGGTCGTAAAACTCTGGGAAGTCTCCTGTCCCATCTGCGACTGTTTTACGTTATTTGTACTGAAATCGGCTTCAGCAGCTCTGCCTTGCGTCTAGTCCTACGTGCCAGATACTCCTGGGTGCCTCCTAACCCTCCTCCTGTTATCTACTGGGCATAGCTTAAATATGTTCTCCACAGAGTTTGTTTAAATAGTGTTAATAGCATCTAATATCTCTTTTAATGGTGAGAGATATGGGAGTTTTGAGTGCATCCCTTGAAAAACCTTCAGTTTGAATGATAAAATTAGAAGAAAAAATGACAAATCACGCTTGCTGTGTCTAGCAGGATCCAGCTGCTCTTGCTCTAGGTTTGTCGATCCTACTAATGGTGCAGGTTGCTGACCAGCAGTTGTGCAGAATAAGTGAATGTGGAGAGAGAATTTTGTGCTTTCAGGGAAATGAGAGAAATCGAGTTTAAGTCTGTCCAGTCCTTGCATGGGAAAAGCTGGTGGCATTTGTGGCTGTGCTTGGACATCAGTTCCTTTCAGGAAAGGGTCAAATGGTTCCAAAAGGGTGGCCCTTCCCCTTGCCCTGCCTACAAGTGATCTTTAATTCACATCGGACAAGATCGTGCTCCACCTGGACCACAGCTTGGCTTTGCAGCAGGACCTGCAGGTCTGGAGACCTTTCAGCAAGGAGATCATTGACTCGGGATCAAGCGGTCTTGTGGAATTTGGGGAAGAAAAAGGCCCTGAACCAAAGCAGCCAGAAGTAGCTTGACTCGCTGATAATGCAGTCGCTGGAATTTTCCAATGTGTGGGTTGAAAACCTTCGTATTGTTAGAATGAATCTACTTCGGGTTGCAAACTCCAAAGAATTTGTTCAGATTCTCCGTGAAAAAGCTTTCAGATGGAAGAGCATAGCAGAAAGCAGAAGCTACATGCATGCTTGTGTTGCAGAACATCATGTGCATGAAACCTGCTTCTCTGCTCACATTTCTGCTCCTGAATGAGTGCTTTGTCCAGGCACTAATCCCCGTTCTTTTCATAGAAGTGGACCTAAGAAGTTTGTCAGCAGATCTTTGTTTTTGTCGTTGCTTTGTGGAGAAGGGGCCTGGATTAATGACTTGTTGTTTGCAGTCACAGGCCTCGGTCATGGATGATGCTGGAGTTCCCAAAAAAAACCCAACATTTATACATTTGTACAGTTATACAGAGGATAGGTACAGACCTTCAGCAGGGAACTTACTGTTGCAGCAGAACAGGGTTACATTCCTTTCCTCTGTTACATAGATAACTTTCTATATAAATGAACCTTTTATGTGAATAAAGAATGAACTAAGGTAAACTTTGCAGAAAGAGTTTATGTGCACTGGCTGCTATTTTCCTTTGAAGTATTTTCAAATGAGCTGTATTATGTTGTTTTTGATGCACTTAGTTTAGTCTTAGTTTTCTTTGGTGAGTTTTTCTAGTGATCGGCTTGCGTGTTGCCATCAATCTTTTCATGGAAAAGGGCATGCTATTTTTAGGTTCTCGGCACAGCCAGCCTTTTCTGGTGCTACTGCTTAAACAGCTGTAGACTTGGTAACTAGTTTTATTAACTAACTTTTAGTTGTGGGACATTATTAGTAGGCGGGTGCACTCAACAAAGATGGCTTAAAGACCTCTTTCCTCCTTGGTGTGTATGTATGCAGACACTGAGGAATCCTTATTTTGGGGGGGTTTATTCAAGTTGATATGTTTTCTTTATTATAAAGAAAACCTTACTTTGGCAAAGCTGTCCTCATTGGCTTAGAGACAAACACTTGATTTGGGGAGAAGCAAGCTGAATTTGGATTAAAACTTCATTTTTGTTGATGAGCTGTTAAAGAGCCTCACTTTAGAACATCAGTTATTTGTGTATATTTTGCCTGTTACATCTCTGGTGCTGAGCGAGTTCCTTATCCTTGTTCTTTTTGTGTGGAGGCAGTTTTGTGACTGCTCCACTGTGCACAAGGAGCCTGCGCTAACTCAGAGCTGTTTGTGACCACAGGGCTACAAACAAACCAAAAAATCCCATGACTTTAATATACGCTTTTTCCTACAGTGGCTGCTGGTGCCTCTCACCAAACTGAGCAGATGTAACATACATAAATTTTATATATATTTATATATATGTATCAAACTGTATATATGTACATATATTTCCTCCTTCATTCCCATTCTTTCATCCCATGCTTCCTCACTTCCCAAGTGCCTTTCCATGCCCATATGGAGACTTTGCATTGAAGGTTTCTCAGCTGTGTTTGTAATTAAGGTAGTGCAATCTTCTATACGGCAATATGTCATTATAGGTCTTCTAGGACTAATAACTGCTATTTATTTGGCATCTTTGCTGTTCTTTTTTTTAAAAAGGTTGGCCTCTTGAAATCCTCTTCCAAGAAGTATCCTGAATCCATAGGATTGCTTTTCCACTAATCTTTTGTGTGGTCTCCAATAGCCTCTGCTTTGGAAGTTTCGAGTAGATTTCTATCTCACTGGCAACGAATCTGCTTCTTTTAGTGAAATTAATGTGGGGTGCTTAATATATCTACATGTTTCCTAAAGTTGTCTTCATAATTCACAGATCATGAGACTTTGCTCTCACCCAGGAGAAAGGCAACTGTGTTTTAAATGCTTAAATATTCATTGCTAAAGGGACTGGAGCCCATGTAACCTCTGGTTACATCCCAAGGCTTTCAGGTCAATGAATATTTAAGTATTTCATATAAAATGTAACGATGTCTATAGGAGATTCTGAAAGTGGGTCACCCCATGGCCTCAATGTACTCCTGGCTGCTAGTGTTGAAGGTGAAACATGTTGGGGTCCTGCTGGCCAAGGGGGACATCTGGGACCATGTGTCCTATGCCCCGATCGAGTTGGTCACTGGATGAGAAAAAGCAAGCACAATTGCATTATCCATTAATCCTAAATAACTGTTTTTAACAGCAATTTTCTTCACTTCTTGCTTCACCCCTGAACTGAGAATTGAGTTGCTCTCAGTTCTAGCATTAAGATCTTTTCTGGTGTTATCTTCTATTAGATGTGTCCTCCTAAGACATATATTTTTTGTGAATACTGAGAAATAAAGCTGGCCTTTGCCCTTACCTGAAGTAGAGAAACTCGGCTAGTGACAAAATACAGGGGTAAGATGCTGAACTCTGTGCTTTTAACTGGAAAATCTCGGAGTCACAGAACAACTGAGGTTGGAAGAGACCTTGGCGGATCATTGAAGTTACTCTAGTAGTTGGAGCTGAAACCTCCTTGAGCAGGAAGAAGGGGTAATACTATTAGAGCCCAAATTGGCTATTATAGCATGTTTCCTTCTTGCTGCTGATATTTAGTTAGTGTCTGTGTGAATTTGGCAAGTATGTGGAAGGAAAAGCCAGCAAACTGAACTCACTTTTGGACTTGATGGTCTCTTAGTTGATGGTTTCCTTGATCCTTTTGATGTGCGTTTAAGCAAAAGCCATTTAGGAGAAAGAAATGAAGAGTTAAGGATCTTGAAATGCGCCTTAAATCCCAGTGAAATTCCTGTTTTATTTGTTGTATTTCCACAATATTCTCAAGGTAGGCTGCATTTGAGTGAGAAGAAACTATGCAATAGTAATGGGGGGAAAAAAAGAATTCTTTGACAAAATGACTTTTATTTAAAAAAAAAAAAAACTAGTTTGATCTGATGTTTTCAGGAGCCAAAGCAGGTATGAGTAGAAATATTTGGCTTAGGCTTAGAGTGTATACCCGTATAATAATGATTCACGAAGCAACACTTTTGCCCCCCACCCACTTGCTCTCTGTCCTTTTAGTCTTGGGGAGGGAAAGGCTTTTACCAAAAGAGTATTTGAGGCCTTTTGAAGCCTCAGGTTTGCAAAGATACTGAAAGTAGTTTTAAATTCCAAGGTTATTGCTAAATCAGTTTTAATTCCTTTAAGCAAACTGACTCTTAATGAGGGTGACCCCGCGTGAGCAGGGAAGTTGGACTAGATGACCTCTGAGGTCCCTTCCAACCTTAAGCATTCTATGATTCTATGATTTCTATAGCAAATACCCCATAAAGGGGACTCTAAGCTGTCCAAGAAGCAGCAACCCTCTGCTTCAGTTTAAGCATAATGCTGTTTGCAAATATTGAGAACAGGCTACAGACAGATCCTAATTTTGCTTTAGGAGCTATCTTGTGAGTGGCTTAACAGTGCAGAGCTGTTTTTCTTCAGTTTTCTGTTTTGTTTTATTTTTGTGAGTGTATCTACTGACCTCGTGATTGTTATTTTTCCAGGTATACGAAACTCGGCTATGCAGGAAATACGGAACCTCAGTTCATTATTCCATCATGTGAGTAATTTTTCCTCCTCCACAACTGTTACTAAGGTCTTCAGTGAGTAAACAGCTTGCTTTCTAACTCCAAACTCAGCCTTTCCAGTCCCTCCTCCATCTAGGAAATAAAATTCATTGCATTAGCATCTTTGCCTGTAGTGTATCTAAGCAGAGCTCCTTGTTTGCAATTAGTTAGAGCTGCTGCTCATTAAATCAGCTTTTGGTTGCTATGACAAAGATGAAGTGAACTCTAGTCCTATTTCCTCTCTGTCTCTGTTATTTTTCTGCCAGGACTCTTGTGTAGACAGGAGGCAACTTCTTGTCTACCTGACACCATGGTTACTGCCTGGATAATCCCTGGAAGGCTTCTAGGGAAATTAAGTACTAAAATGCAGGTGCTGTCTGGCTTATTTACATTGTCTGGGATTGAAGACAGCTTGATATGCCAAAAAAATAGTTGCTCCTTTTGGAGAATGTTCAACTTTGTTGTTTATTTACCTATTAAAATATTTTTATCTGTTTAACATAGTTTTATTGAGGAGATTTACTCTCTTTGGGTCATAAACTTGTTATAGTGATACATGTTTTTAATATTCTTGTTTTAATTGTCCTCTTAATAGTCTCTCCTGAATGGTGCACATATCTATAAATGGTAGCATGGGCTACCGGAGCGGCATTTGTTATCTCATGGCTATCTCCAATTATGCTGAATGCTCTCTTTGAATAATTTTTCTGAACATTTAGTTAAGTACTAATTAAAGCATCTAGTTTGCCTGTGGCTACTTGCAGCAGAAGGTATAAGGATCAGAGAATACTAAAGGTAATTGGGGACCAAAGAGATGGATCTAGCCTAACTAAACCTGCTTCTGTATTATATTAAAAAAAAGACCTGAAACACTTGTAAATCTTAGACTGTTTTATGTTGAACAAATGGGATAGCAAATGTTTTCTGTGAATTTGTTATGAAGCCTGTTTTAAAAAATGAAGACAATTTGCTGTGTCTTAAGTTTCTGAAAGGGTAGTTGCTTGACCATAAATTTTACTCCTCATGCTCTTTGCGTAGTACATCTGTGGATTGTGTGTGTGAGCTGTGTGTTTTCTGTGCGTGTGTTTGGTGAAGACCATGATTCTGACCAAATGAAATAAAGCTGTAGATAAACAAGCTCTGCTTTACACTACATCATTCCACTTTTATTTATGGTTTGTCCCAATTAGGTTTGGTGGGTTTTGCCTATCTCATTTTCTTCACTATACCTGCCATCATTAAGTAATTTTAATGATAATTGCAGCCTGCCAACGGGAAGCTTAAGTGTCTCTAAAGGTTTCTCTGTTGCTCTCTCCCCTTCCCCTCTCCCTGCTCCTCAGCAGCCAGGATAATGACTCCAGCACGTATTTCTGAAATAGAGTTTATTCCTTCATCCTGTGCCCTCTCTCTTAATTCTTAGCCTCAAACCCTCAGAAAACTGTGACTCTGGCTTGAAGGTTGTCTCCTTGTGGAGTGCCAGACGTGTGCAGGGCTGGTGACTGCTGCAGTCTCTACCAGAACACATTTTTAGAGATTTGCTCTCGGAGCTATCGCTTACAGCAATGAGGGATGTGTGACTCTGTTCCCACATGGTGCTCTGGAAACGATCTCTGATACAGTGGCTTGTCAATAGATTGCTTATGTAATTTCTCTCTCTGGCAACTTTTGTATCCTTCTATTTCTGGTTAATTCTTGAGTAATTTACATGTGTGCTAAATGTATTTTACCCACTTATTACCTTGCGTTTAAATACATATTTTAATTTGGATTTGGTTTGGGTTTTATTTTAAGGTATTGCAATCCGAGAGTCGGCCAGAGTAGGTGACCAGGCCCAGAGGAGGGTAATGAAAGGTGTTGATGACCTAGACTTTTTCATAGGAGATGAAGCCATAGATAAACCTACCTATGCTACAAAGGTAAGAATATATTTAGCATTTCTCAAGAATCTGCTCAGAGTTTCCCTTTCTCATTGTTATAAATTGTCCTAGACATTTTTGATGGCCATTTAAAAAACGAGTTTCTCTCAAAAAGGAACAAAAATATTTTACTAACAGCTGCTTACTTTCCATTCCTTTGCTTTACATTTTTTAAATATCTGTTTGACTGGTGACACATGATTGGTTCTTTATTCTTTTTAAGCTCATTGGTGCTGTATAAGTGTTCATTTTCCAAAATTATTAGCTATTAAAATATTTATTACTTAAACTTAAAATATTTATTATTTAAACTCTTGCTAAGAGTATATCCTCCTAATATGGTATCTGAACTGGGGAGCTTTTTGGATACTTCTGCTTCAGGGAGCATCAGAAGCTTATTTTGTGAAAAAGCTTCTGATGAAAACAATCTTCTCTGTGAATCATATTTTCCATACGCTAGTGAAGGACTTTTTGTACTTTCAAGATGTTAAAGGTTTATGATTTATATGGAAAATATCATGTTTTATACATCATACTGTATTACTTAAATGTCAGCTGTGTTCTTAACACTGAACAAAATGTAAACATCATCCCTGTGAACAGAATGTAAACACTGTCCCTGTCAGAATTTCCCTGTTGGGAAATGATGTGTTGCTTATATGGTCTTTAGCTCCTTCAGTAGGTTGGAAGGTGTGCTCAGGATGAAGAAAAACATTCTCAACGAATTTTACAATTAAGAATAATACAAAAAGAGATAAATTACTTGCCCACAGTGCCACAGCAGAAGAATGACTAAGGACTGAGACTGAGGACTAAGAGGGGAACCTGCATGTTGTAGCTTCTAGCCCTGCAAGTTAAAACTGCAGCTGGGAGTACCTGAAACTAGGAGATGATGGAAGCAGTGCTGCTGAACTAAATCAGAAAGGTGGATTTCCTGAGGATCCATGATATGCTTGGCTTTCAGAAATTCTTACAGGAGATGCAAAGCTTTAGATGCTGTTGATTATTTTGGGTTTGTTGATCCTTTCGTGACCTACAGCATTGTCCTACCTTTGTTTTCTTGCCTCAGTGGCCTATACGACACGGTATTGTTGAAGACTGGGACCTCATGGAGAGATTCATGGAGCAGGTCATTTTTAAGTACCTACGAGCTGAACCTGAGGATCACTATTTTTTAATGGTGAGTGATGAGAATGAGTGAGAAAATATTTCTGTGAGAGGAAAACTAGGCAGTATCCCAAGCACAAGTAGCTCGGGTAGGAAATTTTTGCTTCATGTGTGTCCTATTTCCTCAGCAATCAAAAAAATAAAAGAGGTGGTGGAGGGAGAGAGTAGTAAAACTGCACTAGAAGAGAATTCAGTTCAATGTGGTGCTGGCTACTGGAGACTGTATTTTATTTTTGAAAAGTTTCAATTGCTTTGTTGGGGCTAGTTCTATTTTAATTGGCTATGTTTACAGTGAAGTGAAGGAAACTTGCTTAATAAAATGCTGTATAAATAAAGTGCAAATACACGAAAGATTAAGCTTCATCTTAGTTAGATTCATCTTAGAGAATTCTATTTTTTAACAAGCAGTTTACAATAAACCTTTTTTGTATTCCTTATATATATTTCTTATGTCCACTTAATATCCAGTTACTGAATATAAGGGAGTTCTTAGTTGTAGTTTGAATCTTCTTGACCTTCAACACTCAGTAGCTTACCCAAATTGATTGGAAGAGTGATTGCACAAAGTGTTATACAAATGGCTTTGATTATGCTATAGTAATTTATTTATTCCAGTTTATTATTAAAGTATTGTAGTTATGTTCAGGCTACTCTTCTTGGTGATTTATTCTTTTGGAGGTGGAATTGTTGGGAACATAAGGAGTCATTAAATGTTTAGTCTGCTCTCTGAGTATAGGAAAAAACCTTCCTCCCTTACGCTTTGACATTGAGCATGTGGCTGCTTGTGCACTGTGTTTTCCTGAGCGTAGTCCTGCTGAAATCAAAGCATAAAGTTGGGCTGCTCCAACTTACAAGCATCACTCCAGAACTCTACTGAGCTGCTTTTTCAATTTTCCTTCATTTTGCAGACAGAACCTCCGCTGAACACACCAGAAAACAGAGAATATCTTGCAGAAATCATGTTTGAATCTTTTAATATCCCAGGACTTTACATTGCTGTTCAGGTGAACAAAGTGAATCTATACTTATAAAGTACAGTATAGCTGCAGTATGTATAGACTTCTGTATGTGTATGTCTGAAGTTATGAAGCAATACTTCTGAGACTGTAGCTTGGCATGTTCTGTCTCCCTTTAAATGTGAATCATTTTTTATGCAGGCAGTGTTGGCCTTAGCTGCGTCTTGGACATCGCGGCAGGTTGGGGAACGCACTTTGACTGGGATCGTCATTGACAGTGGGGATGGAGTGACCCATGTAATCCCTGTGGTACGTAGCCAGGTGCTGTTTGAAATTGTCAGTGGTTTGGGGTAAGCAAGGGGTATCTTTTTTTCTGTACAAAAAAGTATTGAGAATCATGGAATCGGAGAATAACGGGTTGGAAGGGACCCCTGGAGAGCATTTGATCCAACCCTCCTGCTCAAGCAGATTGCTCAGGGCTCTATCAAGTTGGGTTTTGGATGTCCCCAAGGATGGGACTCCATGATCCCCCTGGCAACTTCTTGAAGTAAAGAAGTAAACATTTATTTATTTATAATATTTATTTTTGACGTGGTTTGGGACTTCCATGCCCCCAGTTGTTTCACACAATAAAATGTGCTGTATTGTGCTAACCTACTGCAGGATCAATTTAAGCTGTCCAGATTAAAGAGGAGCCATAGTAAGGAATCCCTAGGTCATCTTTTAAAGACTTTTTGTACCTCCATCATGGTTATCCCTATGTAGCTCTTCTACATGCTCAGATGACTGGGAGTCCCAACTCTGTTGGCATTCTCCATTCTGGTTGTGCGGTGTCATTGACAACCAGTTGATTTTTATTATGTTTTAGAGATTAGAGTGGACTTTGCTTGAGTGGAAACAACAACAAGCTTGCACAAATGCGTGTTTGTCTACATGGGCGGTCTCAAACTGTTAGGTTGTTAAAAATACCCAGTTATCTGTGTGTACTAACATCTGTTGATGCTACTTAGTTTATTTCTGAAGCAAATAATATGCTTGAATGATCAGTTGTTTTTAGAAATGAGAAGTTGACTGAATTTTATTTTGCATTTTGGAGTGAATCTGGCCTCATCTGTATGTTCTTAAACCGGCAAATACAAAAAAAGGGGGGCAAAGGACCTTTGCCATGTGAAACTGATTTTCTTGCTTGAGCATTTTTATCCATTTTATACTTGAGTTTTTAATTATACAGGACAAAAGGATCTATTCATAGTACATTTGCCTTCCAAATTGTGTTTGGAAAGGACCATCTGATCAGACTTTCTTTTGCAATAAGTGCAAATTTTTTCTTATTTACAGCCTCATGTATTTTGTATTTTAGTGTTAATTATTATCTCTTTTTGCATGTGGCAATTGAGGTCTTGTATATAAAAGACCTATTTAGTTTGCAGCAGGTTGCACATTTTATAGTCATTTCACAGCATCAAGATTTTACTTTTAATTAAAAAATCAAAGCCCAGTATTATATAAAAATGAAGGTTAGCCTTGCTGTTGTTTGTTAATATTTCACACAGCGTTTTTTCCCCTAAATATCTTAAATATGTATTTTTTTTCTGTCTTCTCACATAGGCAGAAGGCTATGTAATTGGAAGTTGCATCAAACATATTCCCATTGCAGGTAGAGATATTACTTATTTCATTCAACAGCTCCTAAGAGAGAGGGAGGTGGGAATTCCTCCTGAACAATCTCTGGAGACAGCAAAAGCCATAAAGGTACATCCTTCTCTTTCTCATGATAAATACTTACTTACGTTTTTTTAGACTATTTTTTTGGCCAAAGGCTATTTTAAAAATGTGGATATAGGAGCTGTTTTAAAAAGCCATGCTGTTTTATCAAGTGCAGAGGGAGAGAAAAAAGGGGAAAATGCTGTTTTAAGCTTTAGAGTTGTCTAAAACTTGCTTTTCTATTTAATAAGAAATACATTTATTATCTAAACTGGGTGATTGTGTGGGTCTGATCTTGCAGCAAGAGCTTGTCTGTTTTCACAGACCTCATGGTGATGATTGGTTTTATTCTGAGAGACTCTAATTTCCATGAGTCAGTTTGGAACCCTATTGAAACAAATGGGGCCTTGGGAATCCAAGAGGGAGTAATTACTTGTGCATTAAAATTTTTCAAATTTCTTTGCAGGAAAAATATTGTTACATTTGCCCCGACATAGTAAAAGAATTTGCTAAATACGATGGAGATCCCCGGAGATGGATCAAGCAGTACACTGGCATCAATGCCATCAACAAAAGCAAGTTTGTCATAGACGTTGGCTATGAAAGGTTCCTCGGACCTGAAATCTTCTTTCACCCGGAGGTAAGAACAGTGCCTGGTGTTGGATTCTGTGGGAGCAATTTGTGGGAGTGGAGAGGAGAGGAAGGAACCAGCATTTTTGATGCCACTGCGCCATCACGTGGAGGTGAAGTACCAGTAAGTCTGACTGCAAACCATGCTTTCCATCTCAAATAGAGAAAAAGGTGCTTGAGCTTGAAGATTTTACATAGTGTTTTCTTTCATCCTTTAAACATCCTTAAATCGATAGACTTTTATACTATATATTAATCACACAGTCCCTTTGGGCACTCTTGTACATACTTGTATTCTATTGATAATATTGTAAATATTGGGTGTTGACTTTTTTTGCGATTTCTCTATTGATATTTTGTTATACTGAGTCAATTTTTAAAGCATTTAGCTCTTTTAAAGTACTGAATTTATCCCCCAGGGAAGCCCACTGAAATCTGTGTTTATGTGATCACAAGTAACGTGTACAATTCTGGGAACCACTACAATGTGCAGTCTTTTTTTTTTTTTTTTTTTAAAGAATCCATTCAGTCAAAATTGCTGGCAACCATAGGATATATTAATGCTGACAAGTTTAACCTAGGTTCATATTGGAGGATATATTAATGTAAAAGTTTAATCTAGGTTCATACTGGCATCACCAAAGTTTCTCTTTTGTTGTCTTCCTACATGAAGGATATTCTGGGATCTCCTCTCTTTCCCCCCAAATTCCAGGCTTAATCTGTCTGTGGTCGCTTTGTAGCCATTTGTTCCTGTGCCAGAATTGAGCCCTTGGGCTGAATGGTTCCTCTCTCCTCGCTGCTGTTTACCCATCTGATCTTAACCCAAAGGCGTTAAATCCCCCATCAGACAGACATCACTTGAATAGCTCCTCTTTCCATAGGCCCTTCAAAGACAGCACGTTAGGAACACAGTAAAGGACTAACTTCAGTTTTCTTCATTTCTTGATAGTTTCTTGGCTCTCTATTTGGAGGAAAAACAAAACCAAAACACTGAACTGACTTTCTAGACAAGGAAAACACAGTAGATGATACTTACTGCATCCAAAGAGAATTTCTCGCTGGACTTCACTAACTCTTCACTTCAAAGGGTGTCAAGTTAGCTAGGTAAAAGCTACCTCTGGTAAAGCTGTTTTGTAATTCTTTCCTATTACCTGTTTGCTCCTCTTTATTATGCTTTACCTCAAAATTTGTTCTGAAATCTTGCATACTATTCAGGTTAGGCTTTCGGGTTTGCAGTCCAGATTTTTCTCCTCTTTTTTAAATTATTTTACTTGCTATTCTCTAACCATATGGTATTTGCTAGCAGATTGCAATTTCACATGTCAGTTTTCTGGTCCCTTTTCTGGGAACATATTATCCTCTGCTTTGGATGCCATAACTCTTATTTCTACATGCTCCTTTTGCCTGGCAGAGTTACCTATGTCTTTATGGAGAGCTGGGGTGAAGATTTCGGGCTGTAATTCATTTTGAACTCTCACTATGAAGAAACACCTTTCTTTTCTCTTTCTTTTCTTTTTTATTTATATAGCTTGGTATTTTACTACTCATATTGCTCTTCCTTATGGTAGAAATGAGCTTGAATTCTTGTGGATTTTTCACACCATTTTCTTTGTCTCTTGATTTCCAAGCCAACTTCCTTTGCTAATTTCTCTTTCAGTTCCTTCCTTTCTTTATTGCTTTTATTTATTTATTTGTCTTGTAATTCATACAGTTACAAATTTCATCCTGTTTAGGATGTAAATCCTGGATAGTTTCTGCATCTAAAGTCTTCATATGTATTCATATCTAAATCATATGTATTTCCCCAATAAATACTTATTTTAATCTTCGAGTTTCCTCTCTGAAAGGCTAAAACCTAGGTTACAAATCTAAATGTAAATTAAAATTTTTTTTTGAAGTGTTTTAAGTGGAAAAGAACCATTATTCACTAAGTTTTTAGTATTAATAATTCTGGCTAACTTAACAAAAAATTGCATTAAGATGGTATTGATGTTTGTGCTGGGGGCTTATTTCCACTCTATACCTAGAGTATTTTTGCCTATTTGAGTCATATTTTCTGAGTGCCTAAGAAAATGGGACTTTTATGCTGGATTTTGATGCAAATGTTTTAGTAGGGCTGTAGCATTTTTGCATAGGGATGTTCTGATTTGACCCCTCCTAAAAAGGAAGAAATAATCACACATTGCACAGAAACAGTATATCTAATACTGCAGGAGACCTCAGACTCATGCCATGAGCAGTAATATATGTTATAGTGAGCTTCCAGTGCATAAATCTTGGCAGTGACTTTATGACCAAGGAAGAACATCTGAATTCCTCTCCAGAAAGAGGAAATGTTCTTTTCTCATAAATAGAAACGGGCTTGTTGCAATGTAAAATACCACTCCTCCTCACTCTTATTCCTCCCAAAACAAAATTTCTCCACAGTCTCAATGTTGTGTGTTCTTATTTTGGAAGAAAAGATCTAATGTCAATATTCTATCTCATTTTAGTTTGCTAATCCAGACTTTATGGAATCCATTTCGGATGTAGTCGATGAAGTTATACAGAACTGTCCCATTGATGTCCGGCGGCCCTTATATAAGGTATGGCCTTAACAGCATGTCTGCACACGTGTGCACACCTGCCAAGCTACATATTTCCCCCAGTCTGATAAACGTGAACTCTGAATAGAAATCAAGCTTCAGTTAAGCAATTTCTGAATGAAGAGTGCTTGATTTATGCTGCTTTCCATTTCTTAAAGGATTAGCAGATATAACAGGGTTTTGATACTAAGGTAATATTGCCCTGATACTAAGATAATAGTATTACTATTATTTAGTATTATCATTACTATTTAGTAATATTACTTAGTATTACTAGTAGTATTGTAATAGTAGTAGTAGTTAATATTACCAAGGTAATACTAAGCTAATAATGCCCTAAGGAAACTGAGGCAGAAGGATGTTATATCTGAAGTTAAGATGTGAATTCTTATGCATGAAGACTTCTGGATTTTATCTATGTTAAGAGTTACTTTTTTTTTCTCCTTTATAATGCATTCAATTTTTTTATTCTATTTTTGTACTTTTCATTGTATATGCCCACTCTGTGTAGTCATAGTCAGGTATTGAACCCAGCGTTAAAATACACCAAACCCTAAAATCTTGTAGGAGATAAATACCTGCTTAAACTTGTTCAGGGTGTAGTCCAAAGTTCTTTCAGACTTTGATTCCCAAAGAAATGAAAAGGAAGGTGCTGACAGGCACAGCCAAGGCAAGCTGTCTGTATGTCTATATTGGCAGCACATCCTGTGCTTCCGAGGTATTTTCTGCCTGTGAGTAAGCAGGGCCCTTTTGGGAATAAAGGCATGAATTAATAGCAGAGAAGCTTGTTGGCTCATGTAGATAAAAATTCAATCTGCGATTAAAAACTCACCTTCTATGAGGGCTGAGATTTTCTTATGTTCTAATTGAGCCATATCTCAGGGCAATTTGTAACCCTTAATTTTGTTTTACTTGTCTAGAAAACATGCTCTGTAAATTAGAAAGCGAGGTGGTGCTTTAGAGCAAATCTATGGAGTGGGTTAAAACAGGAAGTTAATATATGGGATCAGTTCTGCTGTAGGTTGCCTCAGTTGCTTCAAGCTTAGATGCTGACTTCAGGCAAGTCAGCATGTAACCAGCCTCACCTTTTATCCTTTCCTCCCCAGAATCAGCAGCAGGCAAATAACTTTATCAGGGCTTGCCAGTAGCTGGGGCTTGTATGACGTTTTCTTTTTTCCAGTTTCAGTTGCCACAGTGCTGCTTGGTGACACTGGCTATGCAGCTAGGTTCTGTGCAACATATTTGGTTGCTTCATTGCTGTTTATGCGGAAAATATCCTCAAGGACCCTCTGTCAGATTTTGTACAGTCTGCGCCCTTTGAAGAATTGTTTCATGTCTCGTCTTTTGATGTCTTTTTTTTTCTTCTTTTTCCTTTCTTGGTCTTTCTAGCAGCGTTTCTCTCTGTCTTTATCAACAGCATCCTTCCTGTATGAATCTAGGTACTGGCTGCACTTGTTTCTCTTACCATATACTGAAGATTGGACCAGCAGGACCTTATCCCGTAGCTTGTAGCTGTTCCATGTATGGACATTGTTTCAAACCTTTTGCAAGAGAAGCAAGTGCATAATTTAGTTACGTAAATATATAAATGACTTCACAGGATCACAGCCTCTAAGGGAATTTAAAGGAAGAGAGGAGTAGCATGATGGGGATAAGAGTCCACAGGAAAACAAAAAAAGTGTTTCTTCCCCCAGCTTTCACATTACACTCCATTTAGTGCTGTGCTCACAATAATTAACACATACCCAGCTTCCAGCTGTGAGAAACAGGCAGTGACTTTTTGCAGGTCACATTTGGCAGGTTATTTCTCAGGTAGTAGTGTAGCTGCAACAGATGTTAGTGTTGGATGTTTTCAATGTTAATTTCTATTATTATTATTATTATTTTTAAGATGATAGTGGCCTGTACAGTCTCGAGACTACTAATTTGTGTTGATATTTCCTCAGTGTCAATAGAGAAGAGTCAGATCTAACAGTGAGTACAGTGATAATAGCTTTAAGGATAAATGCCATGCTTTTTTTTCCTAAAAACTCCTTGTTATCCTCATAAATTACAGGCTTTTTTTGTTTGTTCAGAATCTGTCATTCTTGCTCTATATTTTTCTTCCTCTTTTCCCATCCAGGGCATCTCCTGAGATACTTCCAGAGCTTTGACAGTCACAGGACGACTGCTCTCCACTTTTTGCTGTGGTTTTGGTCCAAAAGAGGGATTTTGAGAGAACTCTAGGCTGACTTGAGAGTAATCACTTGTGTTCAGAAATATATACTAGTTTGGTTTAGGATCTTTCAGAGATATATTCATGATCCAAACTGGGGGGAACCGAGTCCCTCGCTTGCACTGGATGGAGAACATCAAGGCTCGGAGACCTGAGGTGCAGGAAGCGTCCCCTGATGTCCCCTGTAACTCGAATGGCTTTCTAGACACTGGGCGTTTTCTAGCCCCTTGGAGCTGGTTTAATGTGCTGGGATGGGATGTAGGTGGCGCTGCCAGACCGCGCTGTGCCCGGAAACCTCTGGAGAAGCGGGAGCAGCGGAGAGCGAAGCGCCCTCTGAAATCTTAAGAATTAGTGGAGCAGAAAACTGGGCAGAGTTCAGCAAATCTTTGCCTATCTTTGCCTTCAGCAAAACGCCACCAGTTGCTCTTAATTACCAAGTGCAGAGGGTGGCTCTGCAGGTGAGGTCAGGCTGAAAGAGCTGCCGGGCCCTCAGCTCTGTGTCCGTGGAGCTGAAGGAAGCCACAGGGAAAGGCCTCAGGGTGGCAGCCCCAGGGGGCTAATGCTGTTCTTGTAGCACAGGAATGCTGAGGAAAAGCCCTGTTTATTCCAATATTTCTGTCACATCTGTTCTTAGACTCCTGACTCCCTGCTAGCTGGCTTAGGAGTTGCTTGCCACATCTGCCGTGTGCCCTGGTGCTCTTGTGGCAGAGCCCAGAGATCGTTTCTGCAGAGCGCTCGGCTCCAAGTCGTCATGAACTGCTGCTGCTACTCGAGCTCTGAGAGGGATGTTGAAAAAGGCATTTTTAAAGAAATTGAAATTACTTCATGATTAAAAGTGGATTTTTTCAGCTGTAGTGTTATTTTAAAATCAACTTGCTGCTTTGTAGGAATAACATATTCCATTTGAGCTTTAGACTATTTCCCCCTTTACCTTCCTACAAGTTTGGCAAATATTGCCCTGTAGTAACTAAATTAATCTAATTGGTTCACTTGCTTGTGGCCTGTTATTTCAGCTTGCAAGTCTTCTAGCTTTGACCCGAGATCATTTTTATTAGCACATAAGGTCCTGCCTGTGTTTTATGTCTGTGGTGGTACAGTCGTGCCCCATTAAACTTTAATTTAGGTCGTCATAGGAAGAGGATAAAACCCAGGTATGTTGTTAAAACTCGTGCTTGGCAGAAGAGCATCAGCTGCTCCTCAGTTGGGCACTGCAAGGCCTAAAGTCTCTGATGAAGCGAATGCTTAGGCTGCTTTAAGTGTTGCAGTGTAAAGATGCAGAAAATAACACTAAACACCCTGTATTTGGTGCAGGACTTTGCAGAGGCCACTTTAGCTTTCTGGAGTTTTAATGTAAACCTTACTTATATAGTTCTATTAGTGTGGCTGGATCTCTTTATTAGCGTATATAGATTCATATGTCTATAGCATGGTGCTGTGTAGTCATAATCTCAGAAATGGAATGAAGGAAAAATCGATACCCAAGTGTTTATAATGCAAAGAAAGGGCTTAGATGAGAAGTGAGAAATTTCTTGCCAGCCCTCTGAGCATGAGCTCTCGTTTCCCAATTTCCTTCCCTAAATGACCTACTTTCATCACCTGTCTGTCATGGTTAGCTTGTTGAAGTGCACCGAAAGCCTGTTACTCTTTTTCCTGAGGGATTATGTTCTTTTGAACTAACTTGACTTTCAACCAGTTAGCCATAAACATAAAATCAGTTGCAGCTTCTTTCCCTCAGATGGGATGATTGTCAGTGTCCGCTGAGAAACCTGTAGTCTACTTAGAAATACTACCAGCCAAAATGTGTTTAGCACAGTAAGATTTCTTCTGACCTTACTTAGTGGAATCAGCTGGAAGCAAATAGACATGTCTTTTTCTGAAAGACCAGGGAAGACCCAGGTGGGAATGATTTGCCTAACAATATGCAGCATGCTGCTTGGTGTAACTTGTCCACATATCTGGTAAAGAAGAGACTTACCTTTTTGACCGTTTTTACCATTTCAGAGGTACCCTTTTGTACTTGTCTTTGCCTTGAGCAGCACTGTCCTTATTCTTCAACATGTAGAAGTATGAGTTACCATAATCTCAAGAACATACAGCCTATTAGCTTGCTTTTGTCCTTGGAATGATAAAAGATCCTCCCTGTGTTACTGCTAACACCGGTTGCATATCTTGCCCTCAGATGTATTCGCACAGTTATTCTCAGGTGTATTCTCAAATTCATTTCTAGTGGTAGCGTTGTCCACTTTAGGCAATATACCTGAAGTTTAATTTGCTTTGAATGGAATTATTGCTCTTTGCCAACTTCATTATCTCCAGGTAATATTTTTTGATGGCATCTTTTCAATTGATACTTCATCACTCAAATTAGTTATTGTCTTTCTTTTCTGTTTTTTTATTAGCAATTTCATTTTCTCATGGCATGTGTGACCACTCTGTGGCAGGGTTAGAGATGTTCAGATGTATCAAAGATTCCCTTGCTTTCCCCTTCTGCTTAATTTTAGGACATTTAATTTTAGACTGTGGGTTTTTTTCTGGCTTCTGCTGTCATAAGTTCCTTTCAGTTTTACTCTCTTTAGTAATATTATAAGAGTATGTGTATGTGGGTGTATCCTTGTTTTGGATTATAATCTGTTATACTATAGATCATCCAAAACCAAAGGAATGAGTTTTCCTTATTATCATGACTTCTCTGACACGCAGAGGTTGTTTTCATAAAAAAGCAGCTTCTCACTTTACAAATCACAAATGTTTTCCTTGTTACCTGTTACTTACAATCCAAGTATCACAGAGTGTGATGCTTATTAAGCAACTCTGCCTCTTTAGACCTGTATGCTGACTTGTAGGCAGAAAAAAATGGGGATTCCTTGGGGATTGCTTCAGTATGTGCATGGTCTTGGTCAGCAGTGTCAAAAACTATGACCATGAAGTTAGACCTTGCCCTGTGTGCAGTGAAGTCTTGAGCGCAGCCAAGGCCCTCATGGACATGGTCTAAGGCCATGGCAGTGGTTTCGGTGAGCACTAATTGGCACTCTGGGTTGCAGCTGAAGCACTCTGCAAGGACACACATGTTTGTGTTTTGTCCCTCACAGAGTTCACTTTCTGATGATGGAGTACCCTCATATATGGAGTACCTTCAATACCTTGCCACCAGTATTACACTGTATTAAGTCAGCAGTTTTCTCATTTGTGGCCAGTGACAGGACAAGGGGAAGTAGGTACAAATTGAAACACAGGCAGTTCCATCTCCATATGAGGAAGAACTTCCTCACTGTGAGGTTGACAGAGCCCTGGAAGAGGCTGCCCAGGGAGGTTGTGGAGTCTCCTTCTCTGGAGATCTCCAAACCTGCCTGGATGCTGCCCTGTGCCCCGTGCTCTGGGTGTTCCTGTTGGAGCAGGAAGGTTGGACTGGATGATCTGTAGAGGTCCCTTCCAACCTTGAACATTCTGTGATTCTAAAGTTTCAGGTGTTCCTGTTTTGAAAGATGTCCCCCAACCCCTTTAAACTGCTTCTGTGTTCACCTGTGATCTGCAACATTATCAAAATTTAGGATGGGAAATTCTAAAACTCTACTTTTAATCCAAGTACAAGCCTGGATTAAGAGGCTTTTAGTTCTGCTCTGAACGCTGCATAATACAAGAGAAGCTGATATAGAAAAATCAAGAACACTTGGCCTTTCTCTGAAATGCAGTTGTCTTTGGAGGCCTGATATCTTTTTGAAGAGTAATAGGACTTACTGGTTGTCATGTTAAGGAGCTTAACTCTTTAAAAAAAAAAATCAATTAAGTAAAATTCTTTAAACAAAGAGCAAAATTAGGGAGTAAGGGACCTGCTGTGCGGGTTGGGCAATGCTTAAGGTGTTCTGTACAGCTTGTCAGCTTCCTCTTGGTGTTGAGATGCGAGTAGTCATTTGTGTCACTGGCTTTTAGGAAGTTCATTGCAGATGCATTTAAAGAAGGATGGATGTTTATTTTCTTCACAGAATGTGGTCCTCTCGGGGGGATCCACAATGTTCAGGGACTTTGGACGACGACTGCAAAGGGACTTGAAAAGAGTGGTCGATGCGAGATTGCGGCTCAGCGAGGAGCTCAGCGGTGGCCGCATCAAAGTAAGGAAGAATTTGAAATACCTTGGTTAAATGAGCAAGTCAAAGAAACACTGTGGCCCTAAAACTGAAGCGTGTGTTAATAGGGATTTCACTCGGGCATAGCAGGCTCAGAAAAAGGATTTGAAGGGAGGATAGTCAGAAATAAAGTTGGAAAATTTCCCTTTACTAATAAAATTGTAGTGTTGTAAAATGAATAATATATACATGTGCTCTTAAAGTTGTTGATAGTCTGGCAAAACATGATGTGTCTTTACATGAATTTTAAAGTTTACATGAGCAGTTTCTCAGGGCACTTCTGGTTCCTCTTTTGGGACATGATCTTGTATGTCATGGTAGACATACTGCAAGAGATCTGCAACTCGTGTGTCCTTCAGTGTGTTCTCAAAGCTTCATTAACTGGTTATGAAGAGTTTTATGACTTGCTGTCTTAGGAGACATGGGAACGATAGGAGATAATGAGATAGGAGTATGAATGGAGAGGGTGAGGGGGTGTAGGTATGGGCAATTAAAATGGGCATTTATAAGAATCTTGTCAGCAACATGTCAACCAACCTCATGTGACCTTTTTCTCTTAGCCCAAGCCAGTTGAAGTTCAAGTGATAACCCACCACATGCAGCGTTACGCAGTGTGGTTCGGAGGCTCCATGCTGGCTTCAACAGTAAGTCTTTATTGAAATGGTTTTGCAAGTTTGCACGTTGTCTTGTATATTGTCAAAATGGAAAATAATGAAAAGCTTAGTACTCGGATCAAATATAGGCAGGAGACAATCTCAACTGTGTGATATGCTGTGGAATCCTTACCCTCTTATTAACTCACTGAAACCTGTACCGAGTCAGTATGTGCTTCACTTCAATAAGAGTATCATGATTTGACTTGATTTTGAAGTAGCTTGTGTGTGATAGCTGTAATATAGTGCTTGTGTTTTTGAAGCCAGCACTTGGCATTGCAGTAGTTGAGATGTAAGGAACGTAAGATCCAAACCAAGCTTTTTAAATGTGGAAGAAAAGCATATGCAAGAAATGCAGTCTTTAGCCCAGACAAACCTCTCTTGGTTAATTGGATTTAATTCTAATTTTATTCTGTTTCAAGAGTGGAATACCACATCATAAAGCTGCAATCCACAAAAAAAATAAAAAGGTTAATTTATCTGCATGTGTCTTTTTTCTATTACCTGATGTATTCTTATGCTGTTGAGGGGTTTGTTTTCTGTTTTCATAGCCAGAATTTTTCCAAGTATGTCATACCAAGAAAGACTATGAAGAATATGGCCCTAGTATTTGTCGTCATAATCCTGTGTTTGGAGTCATGTCATAATGCTTGCCTAATGGAAACAAGATCTCTGATATCTTGCTGGTGAAGAAACTCATGTGAAGCAGAGGAAGGCAGCAGGTCCAGGAACTCTGAAGATAGATGTGGGTGTCTCTTGGAAGCCTTTGCATCACCACCATGCATCACAGCACAACACACAGCCCCAACTCATTCAGTAAAAGCCATTTTTCTGCTGACTACTTTAAAACCGTTTTTCTTCCAAAGTGTGAGCTAATTGAAAAATAAGTAAGTCTCTGTTTAGGAGGTTGTGCAAATACTACTGAAAATGAAGCTAAAAGGGTAAGGCAGTGTTTGACAGCCCGGGGAGAGGAGAAGAGATTTAGGCCTTCCCCACCTGTGCCCTGATTCTGCAATCAAATCTCTAGCAATGGAAGCACTAATTTTGATACCACATTGCCTTCAGGGGACTGGGAATGGATGCAGGTACTTGCCCAAACAGATTAGGTTGCAGGATTGGGACTGTACTCTGTAAATGTAGGTTTTTTCGTATCATTTTGTATTTTATGATATTGGTAAGGTGAATTGATGACTTGATCTCAGCACAAAAAACTCAGTGTCATGGAGTGATGTTACGCGTTTCCAGGTGTGAGGCATGTGTTGGAGTTTTGCTGATGTATCTGTTTTTATTATTATTTTTGGAAAAAAAAGCCATGTATGCTAGGAACCGGTTTGCTTTTGTTTTGAATGACACAAACTAAGTGATTTGCAGTATTTTATGGAGTTTATTATAGCCACTATTACTTTGTTTTGGATTTTCGGAAGGTGTTTTATAGAAGATGATGTTTTGTTTTGATGTCGCTGAGCGATGGATGACATGCTGCCTTGCACCAGTGAAATAAAAGCTGTTAACATCTTTACGAATGTTTGTAGTCCTGATTTACGTATTTCTCTATTTCTGTCTCCCCAGAGTAGCTTTCTGTTTACATGTCAGTGCATACAGAGTCCTAGAAACCTTCAGGTTGGAAGGAACCTCTGGAGATCTCTGGATCCAGCTTCCTGCTCCAAGCAGAGCTCACTGCTTAGATCTGTTTGCTCTTGGGCAATCGGTTTTAAGTATCTCTTAAAATTGGGGGATCCTCATCAACTCTGGGCACCCTGTTCAACGGCTTAACTACCTTTTATGGGTGTGTATGTGTTCTTTTGTTGGGGACATAGTGTTTGTTCTTCTGCAATTGAAATAGGGTAGCAAGTCGTGCTGCTTCTGCGCTGATACTTATCTCTAGTTTTTCACATCTGCTCTTGCAGCAATTTGTGTAATCCTATAAGGATTTTGCAAGGTGCAACAAACTTGGGATTTTAACAGATGTGGAAGGACTGAGGCCTTAAGCAATTGTTTGTTCAGTGTAAATTATGAATTAAAGCAAGTCCAGGACTCAGTGCTGGTTGTGAGTGCTTTTGAGCTTAAAGTACAGCTGGGGAGCAATACATTGAATTGTAGTTTGCTCAAGCTTTTAAGAGAAAAACCAGAAAATCTACTAGAGCATCTTCTGTTTCAGTCGTTCCAGAATTGCATCGGTTTGTGTACACTTAAACCATCTTGGGCTGAGTTTTCCTGCAATATATTGTGAGATACAGACTTCTAGTAGGTGCAAGTCTGGGAGTAAATTCCTAGGAACACCATTAAAAGGCTGCCTAGATTGACTATTTGTTATCCTGAACTGAAACTTGTTTTTTCATGTCCCACCTTCAATTGTGGCCCCATCTTCAAGTAAAATCTTGATAAAGAGAACTGTAGAATAGGGCTTAAGAGTTTTCACTTAGTAGCCTGTTGGGAATTTGGAGGTGGTTAATTCAAGGAGAAGCCGATCTTGTGCATAACATGCTTCAGAATTGCACCCGAGATTGAGAGGGGTTAGGATTTTCTATTCCAACTGGTCTCAAAATGGTGTTGGATTCTTGAAGATGCAAATAGAAGCTTGTTACAGAACAGCTGACTTTATAGGTGTGGGTTGTTTTGGTTTTGTTTTGCTTTTGCAGCAATCTAGACCCCTAGCCTAGTGTGGCTGGAGTCAGGCTTAAGGCAGCCACAGATTTCAGTGCCCTGAGCAGCTGTGTGTTGATGCACTGACACACTTGGTGCTCCAAAACAGATAATGTTGGGAATGTGAGATAGTTATGTGGGTCTTTATTGACTTTTAGTTAGACCTTGAGACGTCTTAAAAGTCAACTGGAAGGGGTCTTTTTACTCCTTTTTTCTAACATAAGGTCTAGGCAAGGCAACATTTTCAGAAAAAAAAAAAAAAATTGGGAAAAGCACTTAACGTTCTCCCTTCATCAGAACGTTGTTATGAAGAACACTAATATAGGACATTTGTGTGTCCTGAAGCGAAATTTCTCCCTTTTCCTTCCTTTTTGAAAGGTTGCCTTAACCTTCATGCTACAGATGGTGTGAAGTTTATACCCTTACTGGGCAGACAGGAATTCAGGATGAGCCGTGTTAGAGCACAAATGTGACTTGCCAGCCCTTAACAATAGTTTGTAAAACAGAAGCTTAGCTGATTTAAACCTGTTGGCAAGCAGGCTTACTTTATTCAGTTACTTCTCATGGCTTTCTTGCAATGAATCTTACTAACGATCCCCACAGTGGTTTGTGAGCAGCAAATTCTGTTCCCTTAATCAGTGTTTCACATCTTCACCTGAGAGGGAGCACGGATTTGAATCTTGGACAAAGGAAGGAATTGAACTCAAGACTTAAAACCAGAGGGGGCAGCAAATATCTAGTCTGCCTCCAGACACTATTAAACAGCAGCAGTTGCTGCTGTGTATCTGCAAAGCTGGCCTTCTTGTGGAGAGCTCTGCTATTGCCTAATGTGTCAGAGCTGGGGTGGGGAGGCACTGGGATAACAGCCTGAGTAACTGATGCCTTGAGGAGATGCTTTTTTCTGGAGTAGAAAACTACGTGTTTGAATACAAAGGTGTTTGTGGATTTTGGGCTAGGTGTGGTGTGTTTTTTTTTTTTTTTTTTTTTTTTTTTTTTTTTTTT